GGTGCGGTGGGGGGCTGATTTATCTGGGTTATTTAGGCCGCGGACGAGGCAGGAGAAGCGGTTAATGAGAGTCCCAGCGAAGGGGGGTGGGGAGGCCGGACGTGATCGGAGGAGACTGAAGAGGGTTAGTGTCCCACCACCAGGCCCTGCCCCCACTGTCCACCGTGCTCGTCTCACCCCCACCCCTTGTTCCCAGGGCAAGCCTGCCCAGCACCCTCGTCCCCTTTTGGGTACTCCCAAGCTGAGGCAATGGGTGACCAGGACAGAATGGGGGGGACCAAGTCTAAGACAGGAAAGGATTTGGAAACCCCAGGGAGGGGACCAAGAAAGAGAGGGTGGGAAGAAGAAAGATGGCAAGTCCTGTTGGCCAGAAACTGACCAAGTCTATGGGGCCTGGGGGAGGCTGGGATGGAACAGGCCAGCGTGGGAGTGGCGGGCAGCGCCTGACCCGGGAGCTGAGGCTGGAGAGAGGGCAAAGGGCATGGGGTGTAGCACCAGCGTCAGCCAGGAGGGGACCTGAGCAGCAGAGAGAGGCTGGATGGGGAAGGGGGCCTGGTCAGAGAGCAGAGACAGCCTGGAAAGGAGGGGGAGAAGATCCAGAGAAGGGGAGGAGAGGGCTTTGCAGCAGCGAAAGCTGCTGGGAGCAGATAAGGCAGCACAGCAGCAGGAGGGATTAAAGCTCTGAGGGGCAAGCAGGGTGCGGCGTGGGATGGGCTGGGGGGGCTCAGGGAGGAGAGGGTTGAGGGCAAGACACCGGGGCCAAGGCGATGAATGGGAAAAACGAGGGCGGCAAAGGGAGCAGGATTTAACCAAGAGCCAAGAGGTAGTCAACTGGGACAGCAGGGCTGGAGGAACTCCTGTCATCTGCCCCGCCTCTGCCGGCCCGTGCGCCTGCTGCATGCCAGGGGTGGCAGGACTCAGCGAAGCTGCCCCGCTGGGGGTAGGGCGCTGGCGGATTACTGGTGAGGGGAAGTGGGCTGGCCCAGGCAGCGCAGAGCTGATGGTTGTGGAGACTGAAGGTACACAGCGCCTCCTTGAGGAACGCAGGAGTGCCACAGGGACCCAGTAAGGGTGCCCAGGCTGTGGTGCAGACCAGTCGCAGGGGGAGGATTCTCTGTGGGGAGGTGCATGGGCTTGGAAGGAGGGCAGGTGGCTTCTCAGGGCTGGATCTGGCCGCCCCTTCCCAGCCCCTGCCCTTCTGCTCTCTGGCCCTCCCAGAAGGGTGTGCTTGGGGTGATGAGGTCCCCGCTCCATCAGGGCAGAGCCTAGGGCAGTTCAGAGGTGGCCTGGTGGCGGAGGGGAGCCTGGCAGGGAAGGAAGGGGAGGCGGAGGGGAGCGGGGGCGGCAGGCGGGGCTGGGTAATTGCCTGTTTGCCAGTTCTCCCGTCTCTGCGCTCCAGGGAGCGTGTGTCGGTGGGTGTAGCTTCACCCGAGGAGTGTATGTCTGCTGGCAGAGGTGTCAGTGTGTCTGTCTCAGGGGTCTGGGCTCTCCTTGGCCCTCGCCCCCCTTTGAGTTTTGGGGAGCGCAGCTCTGGGCACACCCAGCTGTGCTCCGTGCTGATGCGGCAGATGTGGCGGGGCCCCAGCTGTGCTTGCTTCCCGGAGAGGGGGAGGGGGCTGCAATCTGCTCCCCCGATAATGGCTGCTAAGTGCCAGGGGGAGGGGATGGAGATGGAGGTAGCACTGGGGTTCCAGTGCCCCGCCAAAGGGACAGGAGGGAGACCTGCTCCCACCCCACTTCATCCTGGGTAGCCAACCCCCAATCTGTGTTCTTGGCTGGGCCTCTCCCCCATCCCCCACGGCTGGTTCCTGAAGCCCATCCAAATTTCTCTCCACACTTGGTCCCTGTCCCCAGCTCTCCTCCCCTATCGCCCCATCCAGCTTGTGCCAGGGACCCACCTCCTCCCCGGCCCCCAGCTTGCTCCCCCTCGCTGATTTTACAGATATTAGACTAGCTTCCTGCCAGCCTTCCCACCCCAGTTCCCTCTAGTTTCTCCCTTCTCAACCTCTCCCTGGGGCCACACCCTCCTACCCCTGCAGGGCCACTGAAGGTTGGGTGCAGGGTCCCAGAGTGGGTGGACAAGGGGCTCCCTGCTCCCTCTCCAGAGGAAGGGTGCCCCACATATTGGGCAGAGCTGCCCCACAGAGCTAAATGGGGCTTTAGATTCTCCTAACCTGGAAAGGCCTAGAGAGGAATGGGGGGTATTATAATGTCTCCTTACACACCCCCACCACACACACAAAACTGACTCCCCCAAGTGAGGGGGCGTGTACAGACCAGTTTTACTCTCTGCCCCCCTCCCACTTTAAACACTGACCCTTCCCCTCCCAGTGCCTCTCTCTGCTGTGTCCCCACCCCCACTGGGTCTAGGAGGGGGGTCCCGGGGGCCAGGGCCTGACACAGACTTATTGGATTTCACGGTGTTTTGCTGAGAAAATAATTAAATTATCATATTTATGATGGAGCTGCCATGGCCTCTGCCAACCACTTGGAACAGAAGGGTCAGGACAGGGGGGAGGTAACGGAGAAACCCGGACCCTGGCTCTCTGGCCCACCCCTTTCCCAGGCCCTTCCTGGAGAGATGACCCCAGGCACAGAGTGGGCATCCGTGGTCCCCTTCCAGCCACCTGCAGACACTGACAGCAGGTCTAGGCTGGAGGCAGGGTCTGGAGGAGGCTGAGTAGAGGCAGGTGACAGGCCAGGACTGCTATGACCCAGGGTCATCCCCCACAGGCTCTCGCAGAGCCTGAGGGCACCGGGAGGCCACCTCTGGCCCAAGTCCCATGTCACCTGCCCAGCTCCTGGGAAGGCACATATTCCTTACTGCCTGGCTATGAAATCCTGGGCTCTGTCCCAGACCCTGGTGCTGGTAACAAGGACCCGGCACCCTGCTGCCTGCCCCCCCTGCCTGCTGCCAGTCCCCCCCCCCCCCCCCCCCCCCCCTGCCCCCCCCCCCATTCTCTTCGGGTAATTAGATTCCTCTCAATTAGCAGATTACGATCATTACCAGCTCATCTGGCAACTCAGCTCCGCACCCACAGCTGGGGAAGAGGGGGGCAGCAAGAGGGGCACGCGGGGGTCGTGGGCAAACATGAGAGATGGCTGGCAAAGATGGGCTGAGCCTCCCAAAGGGCAGAGCCCGGTGAGGGGAGGTGGCCAGGGCCCTTCCCAGAAGAGCACCTCCCGCGGAGCTTCTGGTGAGAACAGCACCAGCTCAGGCCTGCCGCCTGCCAGGGAGCAGGAGACAGTGACATGAGGCCTCAGGCGGGGGCGAAACCCCCACCCCGCTAAAAGGCAGGCTGGAAGCAGATGGAGCTGGCAAAGCGGAAAACAGGCCAGGGCTAGGGCCCGGCAGGAACCAAGGAGAGCGGGCTGCTGGGCGAGCAGCTTCAGGGCCTGGGGCTTCCAGTTCCTGCACTGCTGCCCCACCGAAATCTTTCCCCTTCCCTTCCAAATCCTTCCACTCGGGAGCCTGAGCTAGGCCCAGTGAGCAGGAACATGGAGGAGGGCAAGTAGGGTGAAGGCGGGGGCCAGGCAGGCTGGGGAGCCTGGGGGCCTTCCTCTGGAGCAGGGCGAGAGGCTGAGGCAGTGGGAGGGGGAGATTTACCAGGGCTCCAGATTCATTATTCATGAGCCTGCAGCTACGACTCCAATTTAAATGCTAATGTGGGGGGGCCTGACTCAGCTGCCCCCCTCCTGCCCCCACCTCCAGCCCAGGCACACGCGGAGTCCGTGCTGGCTCCAAGGTTCACTGGGGTTTATTAGGAGAGGGGAGGGAGGCCAGGAGTCCTGGCCAGGCCACCCACATGGCTCTGTATGTGTGAAGACCCTGCCTGGCTTCCTCTGGTCCTTTCTGGACAGAGGCTGGCCGAGCAGGCAGCAGCCTCATGGGGTGCGGGCAGGGGTTGGGGGCCTCCTGGCAGCCCCTCAGAGGATGATCTGGTTGGTGAAGCTGCGGCTCAGCTCCTTGTGTGGCAGAACAATCGAGTTCAGGATGAGCACCTCGGCAGGGATCCGGACGCGGCAGCCTGCAGCGTGGGTGGACGAGGGGCCAGGAGGAGGTCAAAGGAGGGGGGCAACCACAGGGAACTGGGGGGGGCCTGCCATCCAGAGGGACCCCTCCCTGCCCATCTGTGCCCCTGGCTTCCTGCCCCCAGTGACTCACATGGGGCCTGGCACACAGCAGGCACTTGGTAAATGTTTGCTAAACGAACACACACACACACACACACACACACACACACACGCACACTCACACACTCCCCACGACTCCCAGCCAGCACCTGTGGCAGCTTCTCATGGCCCCAGGTCCCCAGGCTCCCTACCCAGGATGGTGATAGCAGGAAGCAGCTTCCCGTCCTTGAAGAGGCTCTCGCTATCCATGCGGGCTCGGGGATCGTTGGGGTTGGGGTCATTGGGGGTGCCTTCCACGCGGGCCCAGCGCCCCACGGTGCTCCCCCAGCCCACAATGCTGTGCAGGACACACGTGTGCTCCTGCCAAATGGGACAGTGCCAGGTGAGTGGGGTGACAGGGAATGGAAGGGTATGAACCGGGGCAGACGCAGGGCCCCATGGGGTTTACCCTTCTTCTCTCTGGGGAGATACTCAAGTCCTCCCCTTTGCCTCTTGGGGTACCATATGTGTGTGTCCTGGTGCCTACCTGCAGCGTGGCTCCGTGGAGGACAATGCTTTCTCGGAGCCGCACACCCTCGCCCACGGTCACGCCCTTGCCGATGGAGACATTGGGACCCAGCTGTGGAGAGGGGCACCTGCTAGCCCTGCTAGCCCTAGGTCCAAGCCCCTCCTAAAACGGGGAAGGAACTGAAGGCCACCCAACAGGTTGTGGCAAAGTGGAGAGACCAGCCCCCACAGCCCCCAGCTCAGGTACTCTGGGTATCTCCCACACACCCGGATAGCCTCCCACCCCCTGCCTAGGGTCAGGCCCACCGCTTACCACAGCCGACGGGGCCACCTTAGCCGTCGGATGGATATAAACATTTCCTAGAAGCAGAAGAAAGGACCTGGGGGCAAATACCCCAAACCATATCTGGATCAGGGAGGGGAAGGGGTTGAGAATTTTAACTCTGGACAGAACAAGAGCTCTTGCTCAGAAGGCAGAGGGGACTGCGCTGGGGGCAAAGAATGAGGGCAGGGCGAGTACCTCGGATTCGTGGGCCCCCTGGGGTGTGCTTGGCCAGTCGTTCTGGGTGAGTGAGCTGGTATCGGCTCAGATAGAGGCGAGAGGCGTAGAGAGCGGAGCTGGGGTCCATAGGAAGGGAGAGGCTGAGGAGCCAGCAGGCCTGTACCCACCAGCCCATAGTCTCAACCCCTAAGTGACTCAGGCTCTCCATCAGAGCCACAGAGGCTCCCACCCCACATACCCTGCAGACTTGATCTGGCTCCAGATACCATCGGTGAGGTGCACATAGATCTGGCCCTGCCCTGCCAGGGCCGAGAACACATCTTGCTCCAGGCGGATGGTTCCTGCCCCTGGCCACGAGCCTGGAGAGTCCTCCCTGGTGGAGAGAACGGATGCTGCCACCAGCTCCCCAGCTGAGCCCACCCGTGGGGCCAGCGGAGACTCAGGGACAGGAGGCAGAGGGATTCCCACCACCTCTCCAGAGAGCTGCTCAAAGCCCAAGAGCCTCTCCCACCCAGGCCAGGCTTAAGCGCTATCCCGGGGAGCCCCAGGCATAGACACGCTTCCCATCCCTGCCCACATCCTGAAGGAGTGCCCCCGGTTTTACATTCTCCTCCCCACTCACCCCTGTAGCCCGCCCCCCACCACTGGATGGAATGAAACACAAACTCACCCCAGAGCAAGGCAGCTGGTGAGGGCAGAGACAGTCACAGAAAGGGAGAGAGAGAGGGAGATGGAAGAGATGCCAGTTCAGCAGAAACAGAGACAGAGAAGCCAGGAGAGATGGAAAGAAAAGCAGAGACACCAGTGGGAGTGAGAAATGATGATAAGCATGGAGGAGGAGCTGGGGAGGTGGGCCGGGGAGCAGGGAGGAGAGGCAGAGGATCCATGGGAAGGAACGGCTTTCCAGTCTAGCAGCGCCAAGCCTGGGGTCTCAGGAGAAGGGCTCGGGGGCGCCACACTGCAAGGGAGCCTCTGCCCGAGAGTCATGTGTGTGTGGCCATGTATGTGCGTGTGTCTGCACCAGAGCGTGTGTGCGCTCAAGTGTGCATTGCCGTCTGTTCTGAAAGACGTCTCTGGGACACTCAGGGCTTGAGAGAAATGGACCAGAAGGGGAGTGGGCAGGCAGTGACAGAGGAGGAACTGGGATGGATAAGGAAGAGGGACAGAATGAGGTTAGAAGGGGAGGGACTCAGGAGGTTTGGCTAGAGATGACAAGTGTGAAAAGGAGAAGGGAGGACGAAGGTGAGCAGGTGGAGACGGAGTCTGCAGAGACTATGGTGGGGCAGGGGTCTGCAACTTGGGTACTTGGGATTATGGGGTCATGGGGCCTGCCTCACAGTTGCCCATCCTCCTGGTTACGCTGGAAGACATCCCGAAGAGGCTTCAGGGCTTCTGGGGAAAAGAGATAGATGCCGCAGTTGATGATGTCACTGATAAAGGTGCTGGGTTTCTCCACATAGTGCAGGACCTGCGGACAGAGGAGGCTGGGTTCAGTATGGGAGGGGTCTGCCCTAGAATTCTGAAGACTCTCTGACCTCCAGTTCTTCCCTGCCCCTACTCCCCACTGCCTAGGTGGTGCACTGCCCTCTGTTCTGAAAGACGTCTGTCCTAAAAGGCAGCATGTCCTGCCACTGCCTGGCTTTAAATCCTGAGATGACTGCCTGCCATCTTTCCCCTTCAAGATAAGCCCTTCCCTATCCCATCCTCCCGACCTCCTCCCAGCTTCCTGGCTCCTCCCCACATCCTGACTCCTTCCCGCCCCTGGCCCCTCCCCATGTCATAGCCCCTCCTACCCTCTGGGTCCACCCAGCTTCCTGGCTCCGCCCCACATCCTGACTCCTCCCCACCTTCTGGCTCCTCCCAACTCCCTGGCTCCTTCCCACCTCCTGGCTCCTCCCCACCTCCCAGAACACACTCCATGCAAGCACACCTGCACCTGGAATGCGCTTTCCTCTCTAATCATCTGGAAAACCCACCTTTCAAAACCCAGTTTACACTGTCCCTTCCTCTGGGTCCTCTCTGGCTGGCCCAAGTCAATTATTAAGGCCTGGAGGCCCTGGTCTCTGGACAGACCTTACCCATGGCACTGTCATTTGCATAGGCTTTTGATTCTGTCCCCCACTAGACTGAGGGTTCTTGAGAGACAGGGTTTGTACCTTTTGGGTGATTTTCTCTCACACCTAGCTGGTGCCTGGCCCAAAACTGTATGTCTGTGTGTGCTTATATGTATATTATATGTTAAAGCACAAACACAGAGCTGGGGTGTATGAAAGTCAGGCTCAAGGGCAGGGAGTTTCACCAACAGGAACAGAGCCCCTCTGCCTTGCCGGCCGTGCTCCCCGCCTCCGTAACTGTGGAGTATTATGGTACTTCCTGCCTCCACACCTTTGCACATGCTGTTCTCTCTGCTTGCAGTGCCTTGTCTCCTTCATCTAGAGAAATCTATCTCAGCTCAGACGCTGCTCTTCCAAGAAGCCCTCTGCACTCCCTCCCAGGCAAGGCGAGGTCAGGGTCCCCTCTGTGTGTTCCACAGCATCCCGGGCACACATTTATTAGAACATCACACCCATGGAAATTAACCGCTATCCCTCCCCCCAGCAATCTCTCTGAAAGGGATCTAATAATCAATCGGGGGTGTATCCCACCCGTTTGACAAGACTGAGACCCACCCCACAGCATCGTCCAGCATTCTCTACAAGTGGGGGTGGGGGGTGATGACACACCAAAGAGACAACCCCCACCCAGCCCTTCTCTGCGCTTTTACCTCATGCGTCTCTGGATTCTCAACGATGCAGCCGTAGTTGAGGGATTGTGTCCTGTTAGCCTGAAAGACAGACACCCTGAGACAGTGACCGCCAGCTCCAGGGCAGCCAGGTCTGTTGTCTCTGGCTGGCTTTCCCTCCCCTATAGCACCTGGCACGCAGCTCCACCACTGACAGGCCTTCACCACGGGCGAGAACTGACAGCTGCCCTCCCCCTCCCTGCTCTGAGCAGCCAAAGGCCTCGAGGTCTCCATAACACCTCCACAGAGCAGCATATCTCCCTCCCGACACCCAGTCTCACCCCACTCCCAGGGCTGCACCGCCTCAACACCCAGCTGCCAGGAACCCCTCTGGGTCAGCCCCTCAATATCCTCCAGCCCTCCTGGTCCCCTCACCGTGGTACCAAGGAGTAAAAAAGGATGACGCTGGCGACGGTGGGCATCCAACATAGCACCCAAGGGGAAGTCGGAGCAGACATCCGCGTTGAGCACAAAGAATGCCTCAGGGCTTCCGGCCAGGATCTGGTCCCGAAAATGGTAGAGACCACCCCCTGTGCCGAGGGGAGCAAATTCCTGCAGGTACCTGTCCCCAAGAACCCCAGAGCCAATTCAGTGAGACCCAAAGAGACAGATACCATGAGCCAGGACACCTGCTCCCCTCCCCCACCCCCAGAGGACTCCTGCCCAAGGCAGAGACACATCATCCGTTCAGGGATTCAGAGACGCCCCAGCAAGAACCCTATGTGAGGGTGGACTCTGGCAAATGCTGACCCAAGCTACTCCAGAGAACTCAGAGGCCTAGCCTCCACCCTGCCACACACATAAGTGTGCACAGGCACCTGATGGGAAGGTTGAACTCCTGCTGGGCAGCTTCTAGGAACTGGGTAAGGGCCTCATCAGGCTGGTAGAAGCCAATGAGCAGAACTTCCTGCATCCCAGGGACCTGAGACAGAAAGAGGTTGGGAGAAAAAACGGCAGCTAGGAGGGAACATTGGGAAAAGCCCTGGTCCCCACCCAGAGGTCCACAGCTCAGTGTCGTCTCAGCCATGGGGCCCTGGGGCACTGACTTCACCACTCTGGTTAGTTTTCTCCTCTGGACAATGAAGAAGTTAGAGTAAATCTTGACTCTTTTATTATTCCCCCTCAACCTCTCTGAACTGGAACGCTAGAAAGACTTTGCCTACTAAACTGCAGTAAAAAAAAGAAAAAAAAATCCATTCATTTCCCCCCATTTTTATTATCTGTCAGTTCAAGCTTAAGATCAGTATGAGGGGGCCAGCAAGTGGCATGGTGGTTAAGGGAGCTGGACTCCCCACATGGCCAACCATGGTTCGAGTCCCAGACCTGGCAGTTTGTTTACTCACTTTCTCTCTCTCTCACTCTGTCCCTTTCTGGTCAAATTAACATATATAAAGTTAAATAAAATAATCCTTTAAAAAAAAAAAGGTCGGTATGAGGTAAGGGTATCCTCTATCAAGGGCCTGCAATTTACAAACATCGTCTCTAAGCTTTACCCTCCCACAAAGGAGAGCTACGCAATCCCATTTCACAGCAAAGGAAACAGAGGCTCAGTGAGCGTGGGAATTTTGCTCCAGCTCTCACAGCAGAGAGACTGGATTTAATCCCAAAGTTTACCTGCCCTAATACCAAAAACAATAAATAAATGAACTCCATGGTGAGCAACAGTATGCGTTCTGTGCTTGGTTATCCTTACGGGCGCCCGTGCTATGGCTTTCGGCTTCTTCTAAGATCCCTGCCCACTCTCACATCCCACACTTTAGGAAGAAGCCAGCTGAGAGACTAGGTTAGAGGAAGACACCACGGGAGCTGCGCAGCACAGCTGGAGGGGACACCATTCACACTGTCTCTGCGATATTGGTCCCTGCCGTTATGCCTGATGGAAGGAGACCACGGTTGGGAAAGGGAACCATATGGCATGGAGGACATCAAGTGGAAGAGGGTAGCCCATGGGATTACCTGGGCACAGGCCTCAATATGGTGCTGGATCATAGGGACCCCGGCCACGGGAAACAGTGGTTTGGGAACCTCAAAAGACAAGGGCCTGAAGCGAGTCCCTGAAGAAGAGAGAGGAGAACATTTTGGCTTCCTGCCTCCCGCTATCCCAACCCCACCATCCATGCCAGCCCAGCCCTCTGGCCCCTTGCTCCAGTTCCTCACCCTTTTGAGGGCCTCCAATAAGGATCACAGCTTTGAGCATGATGGTGGCTGCTACCTACACTTTAATCCCAACAGAGAAGTCAGGATCAGATCCCACATCCTGAATAAACCCAAAGCCCCAGATAGCATCACCGAGCCCTCTTCTAAGATGTAAATCCGGCATTCACCACAGTCCCTCCCTGAATACACTTCACAAATCCTGTACGTCAAATCCCAACCCAGAATCACCAGCCTTCAAGCCTCCCAGGGACTCCTCTAAATCCTGAAATTCACCTGCCACCATTTGATCTCTAACAGACTTTCTACTGGCCATAAACCAATTGCTTGCAAATTTGGAAACTCAGCAGAGAACTTTTTTCCCTTCTTAGATCTCAAACCTCAAAAAACAGAAACCTCGGTGGCCTGTGGAAAGCGGTTAAGCCCTGTGCCTAGGGAGCAGGATCTCAGATGGTCCACTGAGGTTCAAATCCTGGGCTGGGTGGCTTGAGAAACATGCAGGGTGCATGTGTGTGCAGTGCCCCCAATCCTGAAAGAAAGAAAAAGGACAGGGGTGTGGGGGTTGACCACGCCCCTCTGGAAGAGTGCTTTCTCTGGTGAGCACGCAAGCCCTCTAGCAATAAAAAATAAATTGGAAAAAAAAAAGAACCTTAAATCCGCGGATGTTCACGCATTCTCATTGCAGATATTAAGCCCCGAGTCCCAACAGAGAACCCTCAGTATTGAATTGCAAACCCTGAGTAAGTCCCAGGTATCTCATTTCAATCCTAGGTGTAACGTTAAGGACTGAACTAATACTGATCTGCATATGAACCCCCAATGCTAGCAAAAACACTTAATACATGAAGACTAAAACTAATTTCTATATCCTGAACTCCGAAGACAACACGTTCCTTGGCATCCCAGGCACTGAACCTACCAACCGAGTCCTAATACAGACTGGGGTTGAACTCCTGGATTCGGAGAATTAGTTACTGAACCTCTGAACCCCACAACCGACTGTCCAATAAACCCTAGCCTCTTGTAGCCGGGCGCGGACGCGCGCACAGCCCACCCTCCACCTCGGGGTCGTCCCCTGGCCCCTAGCCCTTCGGCCACCCTCCAGCAGCTCCCTTTACCACTAGTTCCCTGTATGCCAGCTCTGCCGCCCGCTACTGCGGGCTCCTTCCGCGCACGTGTCTTCTCGCAACTCGCGAGAACTTTCTCAGGGACTGCCGGGAATTGTAGTTCTGAAGATACTTTTAACCCCTTTCTTACTCCGTGAGAGCTGGAAAGTGAAGGTGGAACATGGGGGCGTAGCCACAGGACCAGGGGCGGGCCTAAGTGAGCAGAAGGGTGGAGCCTGCGATGCAAGGGTTGGAACCTCCAACCGGGCCCAGAGCTGTTGGGGAATGGGCTCAGAAGTAGCAGGCAAAGTGCAGAAATAAGTCACAGAGGGAAGCCGGGCTGGAGGACACAGAGGGCGTGGCCATCACGGAGAGGGCGTGGCCAGAGCGCAGACAGCCACGGGAGGTGGGGCTTGAGGTGCAGAAGAAGGGAAGGCGGAGTCTTCGGGTCCACCCGGAAAAGGAGTGTCGGTTGATGAGAGAAAGCCGATCTCGTTTGCGGTCTATAAAATGACTGTGCACCCTCCAAACTTCTCTTGGACTACCATTCTTTGACCTTGGTGTGTGGGACTCCCACAATCTGTGAATATGTGTAGTTGTGGAGGAGTGGGGATGGCGACGCTTAGGAACAGAATGGACGCCGAGGGTCAGAGAAAGCCGCTTTATTAAGCGAGATGAAGGAGGGTTGTCGGTCCCACCCACCCGCGCGCTTAGAGCCAGGGTGAAAGGCCTGAGGGTCCCTCTCAGGCCACGTCCACGCGAGCGAAGCTCTGGTCTGTGCCCAGACTGTTCTCCACGTACACCTCGTACTTGCCACTGTCCGCGGGCGTGACCCGGCGAATGGTCAGCGTGGTGGTGGTACTGCCGATCTCGAAGAACAACCTGGGGAAGGGGCGGAGAGGGAGGGCGGAGTCGGGGTCAGTTTACGCGTGCACGGGCCCGGATAATTAATCAGCTCTGCTCTTCACCTCCCGGCACCCGTCCCTGTCCCACTGTCGCCGGGCTTCTGGACCCAGTCCCACGCAGGCTCCGGCCCTAGGCCCTGCCCTAGTTGCAAGTCTTGGCCCTCACCTGTCGTCCTCCTCGATGTCCTCCCCGTCCTTAGTCCAGCCCACGTCGGGCGGAGGTTCACCCATGATCTCCGCAGTCAGTGTCACCGTGGCGCCTTTGCGCGCCTTAGTGTTGTCGGGTCCCTTTTGAATTTTCGCGGGCACTAGTGGAAGGAAGGAAAGGGGAATGCCACCAAATGAGGGACCTGGAGATGAGGCGGGGCAGGGGCGTCACACCCCCAGCTCAATTTCGCCCTCCATACAGGTGCATTGAAACTGGCAGTGTGGCGTGAAGCAAATTACTAGCATTTCTGGGGTCATTTCCTTGGCTGTTAAACGGGACTTATCCCTGGCGGGCTCCTACTTCGCCGGATTGAATGGAGGATCAAGAGCGATACAGTAGGTGAACTCCCGAGATGGTTCACACATCTCGAGATGCCTCGGAGACAGCTCCATGTGCAGCTCTATCCTGATACTACCTCTGGCTCATAATATGACCTTGGGGTCGCGTGATCGAAGCTCCAGCCTGGTGGGGCTGGATTCCTAGGTAGGGAAGGATTACAGGGCTGGCTCTGCAAAGCGCCCCAGGCTGTGTCAGGGCTTGAATTCCCAGTCCCCTAATCCCCTGTACACTAGGCCGGGCGTAAACGCGCACGGCTGGATCTGGCTGCGGGCTCCAGTGGGGTGGTGCTGTTCTGCGCCCTGGCCCTGCGCCCAGGGTGCGCGTACCTTCCACGAGGATGCGCGCGGAGTCGGAGCACTGGCCGAAGGGGTTGGTGACGTTGATGCTGTACTGGCCTAGGTCCGCAAGCTCCCCGTCGCGCACCACCAGTGCCACCACGTCAGGGTCCTCGAAGACGTAGCGGTACTTGGGCCCGTCGCGCAGCTCCTTGCCGTCCTTGCTCCAGCGGATAAATGGGTCCGGGAAAGCCGAAATTCGGCATGTCAGCTTGGCCGCGCTGCCCTCGATCAGCACCACGTCTTTCAGCGGCTCCAGCACCCGCGGCGGCCCCTTCTCACGCAGCTCCTTCCGGGACCTACCCCAAGGCGGTGTCAGGGCCCAGCGCTCTGCAGCGCACGGTCTCCCGCCCAACCCCGTCGGCCCACCCGACTCCTAAATGTGGAAATGGGCAGGGAATGGGGCTACTCCTGAACTGTCACCCTTAGGAAATGACCCGCTCTTGCCGCCGCTCAGCAGCCGCGAGAATGGCTTTTTCCGCCCCCCCCCCCCCTCGCC